TTATAATGAAATGATCACCTACATTTGGAGACTTTCCTCCCCCTATGCCCGAAATTGGATGGGCATTCCATTCCTCACAAAAGCTTTGACAATCGTCATTGATCATGTCAAGGAATAAGTGATGAAGTAGCCAGCGATGTTGCGGGTTCTTCCTCTCTAAAAGATGGCATCTCTCTAGCCGAGTGAAGAATGCACGCCACCGGCGTGCAAATCGCCTCCCAACCTCAACCCAAAGTCGCTCGATTCGGGTATTGAACACCGAGGAGCCCCACATGAAGCTGGCACGGCCAAGTCCACGAAGCAAGATCATAAGAATTGAAACATCCCTGTTTTCCCCTCCCCTATCACCACGCACTCTTGAAGGAACACCGTGCTTCAGGATTGCATCAATAAACATGTCCAGTACTGTTTCGGCTGTGTTCTTTGTACTTGCACGGAGCCCTGTTACCTATCATGAAACATGAGTTTGATCATGTAGCAGCATCATGTTTACGAACTTTTCGGGAGTATCCATCCACTATGCCATGGATGACAATTCCCCATGCAATCAGCTTGTGGTGGCCATCAATATGCCACAAGGAATTGGGCCGAGGGACCTTATAGCATGTTCGTTTTTTTTTCTCTCCAACCTGCTTTCGCATCCCCACCCCTAGGCGATCAACTCGCTTCATAGATTTAATAACACGGTGACGTTGAATGCGTAAGGAATGTGCTGCACGCAGACGACCAATAACATAAGCACGCCCTCCACGAGGGTTTTCTTGAAGGTATTGCTGAACCAATGCATCGAGGTCTTCATCGCTAATATCATCGTAACTGTGGTCTATGCCCATTTCCTGCATCCGCACTCTGAGAGTCTTCCGATCTATGCCCAAAATGCTTGCAAGGACTGAGACAGGGATCCGCCTTCCTTTCTGGAAAGCCTCGTGGAGAACCTTCGGATCAACATGTTTCTTTGGTTGGCCACGTTTTCCGGTGTGTTCCGTATGAATATGCTGAGGAGTAGTGAACTCCGTATCTGATCTGAAATGATTTCATTTGAATTTAAAATGAACCATGATGCTTTAATCTTGATACACACTCATCTTTTGCCGACATCCATTGTTCATCAATAAGCTCCAACAATGCTGTGAACTCGGTAGCAACTTGCTCGATCCATTGCAGGGGTATCGATTCAGCTTCTGCTGACTCTGTCAGCAACAGAACAAGTGGAAATGCATCAAAAATGATCATGTCTCCATACTGTTGGAGTCGATGAACCTCTATGCTTCCTATCTCAATGTAAGATGATCCTGTTTGATAAATTTGGTATAATTTCTGGTAGGCATTCTGGACCGAGATTGACCAGGGTCTTTGAGACTGTGGAAGGGGGGAGAAGGGCATGTCCGTCAATGTATCGATCTGGAATGATGCATCCTTATTGTTATATATGAGGTA